TCTGTAAAGACCTAGTCTGAGTTGTAATCCCCTTATTAACTATGACCAAGGTTGATTTGCCTAAAAATAAAAGCAAATTGTGTCAGACCCTTTCACTTTGTTTTTGATTCGGAACTACAAAATGGATTACTAAAGAAATCTTCAGAGTTCACACGGCTAGTATAGTACTGAATTTAAAATGAGAATTAAACAAGTTAAACAGGGGAGCCATGTCAACGGTTTACATTTTCCATCATGGGAGATGGGCTGAATTGCTTATGTCTTTGTATTATTTGGCTTTAGAGAGACAATGAAGCCACAGGAATTTTTCCAAGCTGTTCGGAACACTGTCCCATTCGCTATCCTTCCTTCTTTGCTTTTCTTATATTCCTCTCCCAGCCTCATTCTAATTTCTCCCCAAAAAAGTGGTTGGGGGTGTGAAGTTCTTCCTTGAAAGATCTAATTCCTAACTAGAAGCTTATAGTTCTATGGGTTCTGCATATTTTAATCAAAATATTTTAAACAGTTGAACACTCCCATTTAAGGCTCTACCCCTCTACACAAAGGGTGAGCTCATAAGCAAATCTATGTAGATGTATGATAAGTGACCTGAAAAACAGGCTCTTTATGTCAGCGTCAAATGAAGGCAGAGATTAGGCAGACAGGAGTACCATTTTAATCATTATTCTTCTTAGAAGAGCACTTCTTTTTGTCTAATTTGCAATGCAAGAGTTTAAAAATAAAGTTTTTCATAAAACTGTACAGGAATATCCTTTTATATATTTTTTCTTGATGAGGGTCTACAGTATTTCCTTCTCCCTCCACTCCCATTCCTATGACGATTCACGGCAGTCATGCTGGGATCTCAAACAGTTTTCTATTAGGAGAACACACGGGGAAATGTTCCTCTAAGGTAGATGTTTATACTCAACCTCCTGGGAGCTACCTGAAGCATTTCAGGGGAAGGCCAAATAGCAAAGATTTAGTTGCTCCTTTTGCCATGTCAATTTGAAGGTAATTATTGTGGTATTGGGGTGATACACCAATTAAAGGACTTATCTCAGTAAATTTGCAGATAAGAGGTTTTATAATAATTAATCAAACATACACATTATTTCAGCTGACTCTGTATGAGGAATCCATACCCATCTGTAGTGTGTGTGTGTGTGTGTGTATGTGTGTGTGTGTGTGTGAAAGAGAGAGAGGGAGAGAGAAACTGACCTGGAAATGATGCCTGATTCACCTGTCCTCATACTTTTTTTTAGCCTAGGAGTCAGAAACATTTAAGAATGTTGAAATAATTTGCATTTCTTTGCATCGGCTGGACAAGTGTCAACAGCTAAGCTTTGTGAAAGATTTAGAACCAAGGGCTTAACAAATCATCTTAACCTCCAGCTCCCGTTTCTGAGGCTTGAAGCTATAATTGCTGAGGTTAAAATGTGCAGTCCCTAGACAAATGATTCCCAAATAAATTCTCTTCTGGTCTGAATGAAGGCTACCGAGCATATTGTGAGATATTGCTTTAGCTCCATCTTTGTGCTCTCTCTGGCTCAGTTGTCCTGGGGAACAACGACAGTCCATTACCTACAGTTTATCATCCTGACAAAACGTGAGGAATGTGGATGTGAAAGCACTAACAATTCCACCCCTGGTGCTTTGTGCTTTTTTTCTCTATATATTAAAACCGACAAGATTAACCCAAACGCAAACTGTGGAGCATAGTTCAAGGGGCTATTCAATCAGTGCTGAATGTGCATTTGTTTACCTACAAAAATAAGAATTTCAGACACAATGGAAGGCAGGCTAGCTTATATATAGTATTGAACGGACTGTTTAAACAGCACTATCCATTGTAGTTTATTTTATCAGTCTCTGACAGGTCCGTATTTATTCTGAGCCCAACTGTGGTGGAGCCCATGTATTATAGGTTATCTGGATATTATCCGGCCATTCTTTTCTATAAAGTCAATCAATATCAGGAATTCAGTATTATGTGGGGAAGAATGACATGGGAAAAGCAAAATGCTTTGTTAAGTTACTAGTATGTAGTGCATAGGAAATAGCACCCATGGACATAAGAAATGAATGCTCAACTAAAATTTTCAACACTGACTAGTGTAATTCATTCTAGAATACCATACCAATACAAACTTGCTCACTCTACAGTGAAATCAATATTTTTTTTAAGATAACTATTTTATTTGGCAAAAACATCATTCTGGGAAAAAAACTGTTCTCCTGAAATGTTCATTAGAAATGCATGAAAACCAGGTTTGCTATTCTCTCTGAGGTTAAAAAAAAGCTTAACCTAAATGGCTTCAACTGACCCACCTCTATCAGAGCCTACGGATGCCATGTTAATAAACTAACAGAGCTACTGTTTCAGTGTATAGAACTTCTCCCAACTACTGCAAAAACTCTCAGGGATGGGAGCAGCGGACAATGTGATTAAAGTGGTTATGGAGACAGTGAATTTACAAATGATTTTCTGGATGCTCTATCTAAACAGCTGTTGCATGCCCCCTATGTCCACCACCTGCTAAAAAAGCTGAACCCAGAATAAAACAATTCTAATTACTGATGGTTGCTTCATTACAAATGAATTGTTCCTCAGTTCATATGAACTGATTTAAAACTTCAATGCATTTGATTATCTTCCTGCCACATCACAATGACTGATGAACTTTTCCCTGGAAATATATACGTAATTTCCCCCAAATAAAGTGACCCCTTGACAACAGAGGTTTTTAGTCATTCCTCCAAGAAGAAATCTTTCTGATCTTTCAGGCTAGCATTCACAGCTACATACTTTGGTAAGTAGACCTTTTCCAGGAACAAATTACCCCATCCTCCAAGCAAGCCATTATCTCAAGAACTATAAAAAAAAAAATTCTACTCTTAAGGACTGGAGCAATCACGCCAACAGCAACATCAGCAGTGCAAGGAGGCAGGTTTCTTTCTCTAAAATGCAGGCCTCCAGCAGGTCTCTAAATCTGTGGCCACAGCTGGGAAAACAGACTAATGCTAATCATTAGGACAATCTGTAAATAGTCACCCCTACACATAGGAAAAGAAATATTAATGTCTAAACTTAACATTGAAATAATTATTGCTCTACCTTTCCCCCAAAGTATGTATTTTCTAACGCTCCTCCCAGAAACACAAAACTAGTGGTTCACAAAGCAAAAATATACATAGAGCTGAACGGTGGAGGGGGTGAATGGGGATTTCTTCAAACTAGATTTAAATAAAAACATTAAGTCCTGATGGGGAAAAAAATAAACTCCAAAAGACAGTACGTCAAAGAAAGTTGTTAAGTGGAGCTGAGCACGCAGCCTGGGGAAAGAGGTGAGGGGCTGGCTGGCACTGCAAGCATTGCGCATGGAAGAGTGACCTCTGTAGGCACAAAGGGAGCACTGGCTGGCCTCATCCCGGCTCCCCAAGCCCGGCTCCCTGCCAGCCTAGCCCGGTCACCGGCTGCTGCGAGCAGGTCCGAGCCCGGCGCTTTCTGGCATCACCGATTCGGTATCAATGTAAAGATGTTACTAACACTAATTTTTCAGCAAATAAAGTATCTTACACTAACAAAATAAATAAATAAAATAAAGACGCCTATACTAGATCAGGCCAAATGAAAAGAGATTGATGAAGTAATTTTTGAAATATGGACAGTGTTGTTAAGTGCCATCTAGTATCATGAATAAAATTATTCGACTTACAGCTGGGATGTGTCTGACCCTCGTAATGGGGAATTCTTGGTTAGTTTGTTGGTGAATTTGAAATTGACCACTTTTAGAGGAGTGGATATAATTTTTAAAATTAAGATGTAATTTCTAAACCAATCCTCCATCTCTTTACTCCTAAAATTCATGGCCAACTTGCTCAATTAGGCCATTGCTTTTGCTCCTTATCTCAAATGCTTACTCCAGGATCCAGCCAACGTCTCCATAGTTTTACCAAGTTTTCCAAGGCTAAAATTTCATGATTCCGTAAAATATTTTTGGCTGCGATTCAAAATATATCCCAAGAACGAGATGATATGCAATATTGAGCGCACAAATGACTGATTACGAGTTATTTTAGGATGGATCGCCTTTCCTAAATTCTAAATGTAACTAGGTTGCTCACACTTGAAAGTTAATCTCCACGAGGCCTGGCTTTCTCCAAGGCTGCACTTTTTGATAAAAGCAAGCCGAATCTAAGGATCCCATTCTCGTCCAGCTTCCCCAAGGTTGAAGGCTTTACCTAGGGCCTTAGCTTTCTCAGAAAGCTTCCTTACAATCAAGTCAGCTACCCGGACCGCACAGAGTTCGGGGCCCTTGGTTTAAAAGCCAAGGAAGAGACCGACGTGCAGAGGTGTTCTCCAAGAAAAGGCCAAAGCCGGACTCCCGGGCGGAGAGCAGAGGGCTCGCCTCCGGAATTCTCCCGCGGAGCTGGCGAGCTCTCCGGGCACTGTTTGGCTGGCGCGACACCGCGGAGACGCGCGTGCTCCGGGGTGCTACAGACGGCCCTAGGATACAGGCTTCCTTCTCTGGGGTACGCCCCACTGCCCTGAGCCCCGTCCCTGCCCGCTTCCCGGACCCGGACCCGGACCGTGCTCTTAGGGACCGCAGCATCCCCTCCTCTCTCCAGAGCCCGCCAGCCTCTACGCGCCTGCCAGCCCTGTTTGTGGCCTTGTTCCCCATTCTCCAGAAGAAATAAGGGTCAGGTATTGACACCAGATACGTACGCGGACGTGACACAGGAGCCTCCTGGGGCTTTTTAGCGCCGGTGAGCTCAAGGGGGAAGGAAGGTAGGGGGTGGTGCTCCTTCGGGCTGGCGCTCCGGCTGGAAGGCCGAACCAGAAGACTCTACCAAGTGTAATGGGGCGTGGATCGGGGACAGGGATCTAGGGAGGGCGCGGGTAATACCGAGGTTCCAGAAACAGGCTCTCAGGTTCCACGGCCCGACCCTTCCTTCCGTACGAACCGCGCGGCACAGCAGACCCCGGGGTTGTGAGGGTGATTGCGGATACCACTTACTTGGAGTTCGAGGAATTCCAGTAGATGGGCTCTAAAACTATCGATCTGGAAATCGCACTTCTGCATAAAACCATCAAAACTCCCCAGCAGTACTTCCACACGGAGTCCCTCCTCGCAGCCATGGCCAAACCACTTCCAGCCCCGTGCACTCGGGTCGGCGGAGGGACCGGGCGCGGGCCGGAAGCCCCAATACTCCAGACAGAAAAGGGGAAGACCGCACGCAGCTCCGGGGCGCGCCGAGCAGCTCCAGTGGTCGCGGAAGCCAGAGGCGCTCTCCTTGATGCTCTCAGGGCGAGAGGTGGGAGCGCACACGCGGGGCGCGGCAGCGCGGCGGGCTCGGGGCTCCAGGTCGCCGCGTCGGACCCAGCTCGAACCGCCCACTCCGGTGCGGCTCCAGGGTGCCGGGCGCGGGTCTGCAAAGAGGGCGCGCGGCCGGGACACAAAAGCGGAAAGACGACTAGGCACGGCCGGCGAGCGCGGAGTCCCGAGCGGGGCCGTCCCGCACTATAGATCCAGGGGGGTGGGCAGCGGCCCGAGCGCAGAGGCGCCGAGTCGACAGGGTTCCATGTCCAGGAGCTCGGAGCGCTGAAGGATGTCTCTGGGAGCGCGGGAGCCTCCTTACTCCTCGCGGCTCCCAGCCTGCAGAGCAGGCCGGCGTGTCTCGGTCCTAGCCACGGGGCGCCGGACGCACGCGAGCCTTTGTGCACAGATGGGGCACCAAGACCTGCTCTGCGAGCGGCTACTCAATCCAGACGGCACCGCTGTCCCTGCAGAGGAGAGTCAGCGCAAGCAGCCCGCTGTCAGAGCACTATAAACGCGGAACCCCGCCCCGCACAGGTCAGCCCATTGGTCCTCCGTACGGCAACCGCGCGTTGGTTGGACAACTGCAGCGTCCGTCATTTGCCCGCGTCAGACATTGGACGTCGCGGAGAGGGGCGCCGGCTGACAGGTGAGCCACGCCCTTGGCCCTCAGGCGGCGGCGCGAGTCGAGCAGAGGAGTCAGCAAAGAAGAATGGTGTTTGTGCGGCGTTAGTTCCCTGAGTGGCGAGGTAGGGATGCTGAGAGGGACCGCCGAGTGGGAAAGGGGACAGCACGATGCCACTTGTCCTCGCTCTCTGGACCCGACTTTATTGCCCGGAAAGTGTCCTAACTTTGAAAGAGGGACAACGTCGAGCGTGAAACTTTCCCTGCGGAGTGAAAGGCATTTCCCGGTGCGTCTTCCTCCTTTGAATAAAACGTCCCCTCTGCATGGTTAAACTCACACCCCGCACGTGCATTCATTCGCTAACCCCTACTAGGTCTCTTAAGTGATGCGTTTGAGACCTTATTTCGATACCAAACATCAGCTGGGTACCAACCTAAAGCAATGGAGCCGGGAGATGTAATGTAAAAAGGCTCCAGGGGACGAGGCACTGGCAGGGCAGTAGGTATTGGGGCGCGTAGACGTCCGGGCCCCCCTCATCCTTCGTGCCTTGCTTAGTGCGAAGTTCTTGCAAGTGCCGCCAGCACGCCCAAGACTGCCGCGGGACCTTATTCTTAATTAGCCGCCTAGACACACTCATTCTTCCCCAAGGTGACGGTGAGTGTAGTGGTGACGCTATCAAATACTGCCCAGGATTTCTTCTGTGTTCTTGGTGAAGTGCTTTTGCTAAGAACTTGGTTGAGCGCCACCTTGTCTACTGCTTCCACGGACCCACAGCGCCCACTAGCGGCCAGCTTGACATCTCTGCGTGCGAGAGCACATGGTCTACCCACGCATACCCAAATAGTCTCCCCCTCCCCCAATCTAATCACGCAGAAAAAGTCCAAAGAAGACTCTTAAGTGACCAGGAGCAGAGCACAGCTGAAATAAGACAGTACAAATGAACAATTCAATTTGAAAAAAATAAGTATGCCGTATATCCAAAACATGCTTAAAAAAAAACACACACACACACACACACACACAAAACACAGGATTTAATGAATCAGACGCCAAGAACCGGACTGTATTCCTGCAATTGGATTTCTTTACCCAAATTATCCGCTAAACTAAATTTTAAAGATAAATTTCCTCGTTTAGATACTAGTTTTTTTTCACTCGTTTTTAACTTTTGAAGATTTTATGGTGTATTAAGTATACAGTTTTTGAAACAAATTGACGTACATTATGTAAAAACTTGTGGGTTGTTTTAAGATATAAAAACCGTTTAGGATACACGAGGTTGTGAATACATTTACATTATTCCAAGCTAATCTTTATAAGAGAAAACTTCATGTTCCTCACTTGCAAATTTTAAATAAGCCTCCAACTTGAGGGAATAATTTTTTACGAAGACTCAAAGGCAGTAAACGATTCCAAGCCATCGGCAGATTGCCGGAGGACCAAAAAATTTGGAAAGGGCAGGCAATATTAATCATAATTTCATAAGGGTTAAAAAAAGTTTTAATTAAGTGTAAAACATTTAAGGAATTCACTTAAAATTTATTACAAAGCCCGCTTAGGGATCTTTTATTAAAGAACTAAAACAGTGTTATCTCAATATCAAACTTAACACAGTAACGTTCAAGTTGTGACCTCTCCTCTCAGCTCCTACAGCCTCCCTTCAAGTAGAGGAAATAAAGGAAATTTGCATTGTCTAAAAATAACCATGACTTCCATTTTTAGTAAATCGGGTTAATTTTCATATCCCTGGCATTTTACCTTGGGGGAAAAATGTAAATGCGCCTGTAAAAATCGCTTCCCATTTTTATTTGATCAAAAAATAAAATCCTACACAAGATTTCTACTGTGTAGTTCTAGTATGTGAGTATGCATCAACTTACTTTCAGTAAATATGTAATAATTAGCCGTAGAGACTATGTGAAAAACATCAGGAGTAGCAACTTCAGGTTGCTAATGTTCCACTGCTGTTGAGTAATTTCAATAATTAAAACCATTACCTCAAACCATATTATCATACCAAGCCAACTGCCCCCCATGACCCCCCCAAAAAAACTCTCCAAAATGTTGTATTAGCATGTACAAAACACAAAAGTGGAATTTTTAAGCATGCCAGCCCCAAAAGAATCACATCGGTTTGATATTTTTTTGTATTCCGACTTCACTTTACATTATTGGTTACTTTTGAAAACCTATAACAGCACATAACCCATCAGAAATAAGTTTTAGCATAGGAACTATTTCTAGAGTTCTGAAATAGTTTCTAAAAGTCAGATTAATAAAAATTTGGGGAACTTCAATTATAAAAATTGATAACTATAAACTTAGTAAATGTCAAATTAGGTGGCAAATATTTTAATTTCAGCTTATAAAACCAGGGAGCAAATGAACCTTACTAATATTTCTGCTGATCCTTTAATTCCAGATCATGTGCTGATCATCAGAACTTAGGTTTCCTAGATACTCCTTGAACGGTAACCTATCCATTCCAATATGTAGTTCAAGAGACATCTTTAACATAACTTCTGTAAAAACAAAACCAAAGCCCTATCTAAATGTAACATTACTGAAAATAAAATTTCTGAACATTTTTGTACATGATTAAATGTTGCTCAAGCCATGAATTTTCCATGTAGCCAAGTCTCTACTAAAACTGTATTTTGTTCCTGGCATTGCATGCAGTTTATTTCATGCAAGTCACATTTTTAGAACCCTTCTGCCAGTCACATTTTGCTCAATTTACTAGGAAGACTTTTGGAACAAGTAGAAAACAATTTAGCCACTCCTACCCTATATATCAGCTTCTAAAATTCAGATTACACATTGAAGTGTCTTAAATCTACATATGAGTTTGGCAGAAGCGTTGTTATTGCATTGAGCTCTTGATCAAACAAAAAAACTTTCCCCTTTGGGAAATTTAATGACAATTCATACCTTATAGACAACATATTCCTTATGAAACCAAAATACCATTATTTCCGACTACAGTAGTCATTTAAATCTCTAGTCTAATAATTGCTTTTACATTATTAATGCAAAAGCGGCACACGTGGAAAGAATAGTTATGGCTCCAATTATCTTGGGCTCCTGGTGTAAAACTTCCTTATTTGCAAACCAACAGGTTTATAAGACCACCAAACTCCAGTCACCATTCCAAATGAGATTAGGTAGTTTGGTGGAGATACATGTGCAAATACCTTAGCTGTGTAGTTTTGACCCTATCAGCTGGATTGTAATACTTCAAATTCTCTAAAGAGCATTCCCACTTTATGGACTGACATAGGCATACTGTATACTCTAAAAGTTAAATACTGCTCAAACATAAGTGGCATTCCTGGCAGCAGTCATTAGATAACGGATCTTCTAAAATGGGTCTAATAAAACAACTTCTGCTCCCACTTTAACCCACTTTACAGTTAAGATATTCAACAGCATTTAGAACCAGCTGCAATTATATATTCCTTATGTTACTTGTCATTTATTTAGTCCCTAGTGAAAACCTGGAAAGTGAAGGAAAACTCATTATCCAAATTTATATGAAGGACAAAACCATTTTATTCTAACACTAATAAAGCCAAATTTAATCATCAACAGTATACCAATCTTGGAAAATACACTGAGGTACTATTAAATACACACACACCTTTGAGTAATAGTGAAACTGCTGGGTTGGTGAATGTGCACTTTTTAACTTACTAGCTTCACAAAAAGACTAAAGAAATACGTATAAAAAATGCTGTTTGAACGTCCTCTCATCAGCCAACAGAGGATGCAGAAAATAGCCTTTTTTTTTTCCAAAAGACTTCCAATGAAGTTCAGTGACACATAAGTACATGCTTTTTAAGATACTGAGTCATCTGTATCTCCTTCCAGTGCTTCCTAGCTGCAAATCAGTTACTCTAGTCCAGACACACAATATATTACATCAGGCAATGCATTCTAATCCTCTGAAAACCAGTGAGGACAAATTTGCTACAAAATGTATAGTGAAAACCTAAACCTTCTAGGTTACTGCACCACTAGCAATTCCCAGATTATGGGCAACTTAATTTTAAAGAATTAGAGTAAAATAGCATAAAAACAAAATACAAAGTAATCAAGACAATGACAAGTTAACAAATGAAGAGTTGGACCTACTGCTTGGGCTTTCAACACCCATTCTATATTTCTAGAATGAAGTCCTTCATTTCTTTTACTTTCAGTAGTCTTTTCAGATCCTTTCACTAATAACACTTATTTGAATGCATGTAAAACTACTGGAGTGACAGGCCTCAATAATTAAGATACCCTGGTCTTCCAAATTTCTCATGGCCAAGTAATACAATAAGGTCGAATGGTTCTGGGTGTAAAGAACTGAAAACAGCTCTAGTTAATAAAAAGCTTTGGAGAAATTTAAAGTGACAAATGGGGGATCATTAATATAAAATGCATTAGAAATGATATAGAATTCAATTAGCCAGGATTTTATGCTTATTTTACTTCATAAAATTATAAAGTACAAAGCCACTGAAAATTCTTAAGGTTCTGGTGGTCATACACACACAAAAAAAGCTATGTACATATATTAGCACAAGTAAATGACTCAGTATTTTAACTGAGAGCAGAAATGGCCTAAATTGCTACATATTTATAAGGGAAACTGAGCATTTAATCTTTCAATACAAACTCCTTCACCTCTTTGCAAACATTTAAAGAGTCCTCACACCAAGCTAATTTAAAGGATTAGTTATACAACTGATCAAATTCTGCAAACTCCACAATCTAATTGGCAATAACTATACGGCAATAAAAATAAACAGTCATCAGTTGAATGTATAATGC